TAAGATTTTGGTTTTTCTTCAACCAACAATAATTTTCCCACTTCAATTTAGTTTCTTTGCTTTTGTGAACAATTTCGCTTTCACTTTTTTTTTCTTCCAAATTTACCAAAAATGTTAACCTTTTCTTTGTCGTCTACAGCAACTATGAACAACAAAGAGCAGCCAACCTATAGTTGCTGGTGATGTCGATGTCTTCAACCACAACAAACAATAGGTTTCCTTTGGATTCTACTGGCTGGCTGGTGTTGTTATTGTTTAGCCAACAGTTTTCTGTTTAATATTCATTACTATGGCCACCATTTGATTACAATTTTTCATTTGTTGCCTCAAAGTATTGCCTCGGATTTTTTTTAAATTTTCCCCTGTACACGACTTTAACAACTTGTTATTGTTAGATGAAAATTACGAAAAAAAAAAGTTAAAATTGCATTGCATTTTGTATTGTTGTGATTGTCGTGTAGTTCCAGTTGATATGTACAGTTTCTTGATTTGAACCCTTTTAAAAATGTATTTACATATTAAATTTAAATCTGGAATCAAATCGTTCATAAAGAGGCTAATAATAGAGCTAGCTATCAACTATTATAATGTCCATGGATAAGATAGTGTTGCAAAAATTGTCTATACTTACATATACCCAAAATCATTGTTAGTAGTACAGTGGTAGTTTAATAGTCGACCAAAATTAAATTTTTTCGAACAATTCCCCAAGTTTTGCAATTTTCTTTTAAATCTGCAGCACGTAACAAACTTTTTATATAGGATTTAAACAAGTTGACCTCTGTTTAAGAAGATACAATTCGTAACAACGAACTTCAACTGCTGCAGCAATTGCTGCACCAACAACGCCCGGAGCATAAAAGTTTATTTTGTTGAACATTTTTTTTGTTTAAATGCATATTTCAATACCCTACACCACTATAGTAGGGACAAACAAATTTGTTCTACTTCCTTAAAGTATATCAATTGATTCAAAACCATCAGGAGTCGTCTAAGCCATGTCCGTTCGTATTTTAATTTTAAAGATAATTATCTTAAAAATTGGGCCAATATTTTGGCTGAAATCAATCCATTACTTAATCTAGTCTTACAACCGGGAGAAAGTAAGGCTTTGTTTAAAAATATCTTCAAAATTCGTCTCAACTATGATTTATATAAGCTTAAATTATACCAAGTTAAATTAGACTGGGTACTACCACAAAAACAACTATACTTGCGTCCAGGAGGTCCCTTTGTATTGCCTGTAAGAGAATAATGAAACGAAAAGAAGAAGAACACAGATATAGTTTGATGACAGATATAGTTATAAAACTTTGCAAATAATGAATTCACAAATTTGAACATTTAAGAGATTAGATAGATCACAAAAATAAGTTGACCCCAACGTCTGATAGTCGCAGAAGATGAGTAATTGTTTCTTCTTCATCCTCATTTTGACAAATTCTACAGAAGTCGTTATAGGGAAGACCCATGAGCAATGTATGTTTTCCAAATTTACAATGACCAGTAATAACTGATCAAAGAGTGCTTAGCTGTTATCTGCTGATAGATAGGATTCATTCGAGGCCACAGCGTCGTAAGTCTTGAGCTAGAGACACCCGGCATTTCTGGACTAGTCTTAATATTTACTGCACATCGATCAGGAATTTAAAAGCAGCTTGATTGTCAGTATAGATTCTGATAGCATTGTTAGATATCCGATAAAACCTAAGCCATGACGATGCCACCACCAACTTTTTAATTTTCTTTGACCCATCAGTATAAGAAAAGGAGATATTATACTCTGAACTTAAAAATGACATTAGAAATGTGTATATGCCCATACTGGATCATAGAAGGTCCCCTTCAGAAAACACCTTTAACGCTGGCTTAAAAATTAAAGTCGCATATCTCAGAAACTGTAGCTGCAGTAGTTCTCAAATTATGCATGGACAATTTCAAAATGCATATAAACATTTGAGAACAATATGGGAGGACTGTCAATAGTGTTCGCGACAATTTCCATATAAAAAAATTATATTTAGTGTCATTATGAATATTTGAGTCAAAATGGGCGGATTAATATAGGGGGCGTGGCACCTCCAATATGAATTAGAAATGGGAAACCACAGAATTTTAAAATTTTGCACGGGCAAAATTGAAATTCATATGAATAATTTAGGGAAAACACGACAGGATTAGCAATAGGGAGCGTGACACCACCCAAATGAATTGAATATAAAAATTCGTATATAATATCGATATACGATATTAAAATTCGGCATAACTTTATTACATTTATGCTGATTCGTTTGGATTTATGCTTATAACAGTATGATCGATTCAAAAAAAAACTTTCGAATATCACTTTAAATGCTGATAGGTATATAAGATTCGGCATAATCTAATATTACTTGTTCTCTCTTTTTTGTATATGTATGTATGTACTAAGTTTTAATTCGATGAAACTTGTTTGAAAATTTTGCAACAAATGTTTATATATTGTTTATAACTTTTTTTCAATAGTTGACTGTTTTGTTATTTTGTGACTGACATTCTATTAATGCTGTTAGAATTTAGTTAGTTAATACTTAGGTAATACTTATGTAGTTATTTTTTCCAATGTAGTACAGTACAAAAAGTAAGAGTATTATGTATATTCTTATTTTATATAAATATCTTAAATTTAAAATAAATTTCGGAAGATAGGTCATTATGGATCGATCATATCTGAATTTATTACAGTTTATTTATTTATTTATTTAGTTTATGTTGTATTTTTATGAAATTGGTAGAAAGATTTATGTTCTTATAAAACTTGTTTGTTTTGAACTATGAATAATGACATTTTCTGAAAGGGACCCTATATGGGCACAGGAATCTAATTTGCCCCGTTCCATATGAAATCTGAAATGATACAATATGTGGTATCATTTAAACGGCTTTTTGAAGCCACGGTCTACAAAGTGGAATATATCAATTATTAGGCGATGGCTATTTATGAGTAATACATCATTGGACGCGGCTTTAAAACCTTTCAAATGATATCACACATTGAATATATCGTTTCAAAACAAAACTAAAAATTAAAAAAAAAAAAATATTCAAAAATACCTTTTTTAAATTTGATCCAGGTCACGAACGGCCATCGCAAGACATAAAATATTTTAGGAATCATCATAAAACAAAGAAAGGTAAATTTTGAGAAGGGTAATAAAAACATAATTTTGCTTCCAAAACAGATTGAGTCGGTCTAATGTACTACATATTATTTTTAAGCCAGTCGTAAAGTAAGTTTCGGAAGGGGGTATTATAGCTAGGGTCAAATATGGACGATATTTGCTATACTTAATGTTATATTTTCTAAGTGGATACTACTATTATGTTATATCGACATTACTGCATAATTAAGATAAATACATTTATGAACATTGAAGCAGTATTCCATGGGATCACTTTCCTTTCTGATCTATCGTGCTTTTAACAGATGGACTGACAAATACTCAGACAAACGGGCGGACATCGCCTTAGAATCGAATAAGGACCCAAAGGAGCACTTGTTTGCACTAACTTTATTTCAGAAGTTAGAACTAATTTCAACACTTTGACAAGTCTAGAGCCACAAGATTCATTTGTAGCCCCTTGAGGGAATATTTTCTATATTTTGATGCTAATGTTTTAGTCACCTATTCTCCCATTAATATTGAATCTCTAAGTACATTATGACTATAGCCGATAGTATTTCGATTTTCGGATTTGTTTTTTAGACCATATTAAGAAACCCGAATGAAAACAAATTATTTTTACATAGTATTTTAAAAAATTGTCTTCTGTTCTTGTTCTTAAATAAGGGCCATAAATTAGAGGCATACTTTGGCCACTAATCACTAGAAACATTGATCATTTTCTTTTATTAGTGGGTGGCCGCATGATAGCGTTAAAAATTTGATACCCTCAACCAATTTTTCCCAAATCGCATAAAAAATTATACTTATTTAGCTTTCACTACTTTCCTGCCCATATTTCTTTCACTGTATAATTCGCGTGTCGAATCATAACTGACAGGCGAAACGTCAACGTAAATAAAATACATACTTCTTTTCGCACACAAACAACAAAAGCTAAAATATACTTCAAGTTAAAATATACATGATTAAACTAAATTTAGTTACAAAAATTTATGAGATGTAATTTTGCAAAAAATAATTGAAAAGCATAAAAATAATTAACTTCAAAAAGTAATAAGAAATAACAAAACAAAATTAATGGAAATAAAGAAGAAAGTGGGTGTTGGGTGAAACGGCAACACAAGAAAGTGTTACCAATTTTCTTTTTAGAGACCAAATGAAAACGATTTTTAATGATTTATAAAACAAAACCTAAACATAATAAATAATTAATTACTGCGTAGAACAACAAGATTAATTCGCTGTTAAAAAAAAAGGAAAATAAATATTTACGATGAATTTTATAGGAGCCCATTAAAATGCAAAGATAATGAGCCAAATTAGCAGCCAAGCTTGATATTGCGCTTAAAGATGGCAGCAAAAGAAATTACAAAAAAGAAAAAGAATCTCTCAATTGCATTTGCGAGATTTTCAAGATTGTGGAAAAAGTTTTATTAAGATTTAAGCAAGAAAACATTGTTTTTTTTTACCATCTTTCTAACATGCTCTGAATATTCATTCAATAGTGTGCAGTCTAGTTTAAGATGCATACTATGGTGTTGCAGAAGCATTAACTAGGTCCATTTTGGCCACAAAAAAAAAAAACAAAAATTGTTGCAGCTAAGCAATTAAAACAAACAAAAATGTATAAATTTCTTAGCCACGCTAAGCCTCAAGATCAGTTGCATTTTGTTAGGAAATTGAAGTGGTTTGTTTTTTAATAAATAAATTATTTAAGTTGAAACACGAGTTTTATAAGAAAATATACAAAAACACCAAAACGAAAAAGAATTATTAACAGTCCCTTAGGACACATTAACGAAAGATTGTGCTGAGAATAATAGTCCTTAAAAGATGTGTAATAAATTGAAACTGTTAAATCTATTCATAATAGTGGCTGTGTGTAGTTGTACAACATCGGCTGAATTCGAAACAACTGTAACCCATAGTGGGCGTGGCTTATTAACCGACAATGGTTTAACACGCACCATACATCACATACTAAATCAATGTTTAAGTAAAGATGATGTGGTATGGTGTTTCAAAGTACAAGGAGCTAAACTGCTGGGTCGTGCTTTAAAATTCCAAAACATTAACATCATTGAAGGCGTGGCCTTGGTAAAGAAAAATGACAGTGAATTGAGATCGGGTCGGGCAAGTGTTACGGATCTTAAACTTAACAATAGAGACTTGGAAAATCTCTCAATGAAAAGTTTGGATTCTTTGTTAATGGAACGATTTCTATCATTTATACGCTCACGACAACTACAAGTCAACATGCCACGCCTATTGGCATTTGGCAAAACGAACAGCCAGGATTTGTGGCAAAGCATTATGGATTTTTTCACCTCCAATGATGATTCAAGTGCAGAATCGGAAGGACGTAAGAAAAAAGACGACAAGAAATATTTGGGCCCGTTTATAGCTGCAGTTATGTTAAAGGCTGCAATTTTAAAAATGGCCTATCATTCGATTGCCATAGTGGCTGGCAAGGCCTTGATAGTGGGTAAAATTGCTCTAATCATTAGTTCTATAATTGGTCTAAAGAAATTAGTCTCAAACGAGGGTGGCGAGAAGACTACCTATGAAATTGTTAAACATCCTCAAGTCCAGCAAAGTCATACATACTCATCGAGTCATGCGGGTGATTATGATGGTCATGATGGTGGTTCCTCCTACCATCGCAGCATGGATGATGAAATGATGATGCAAGATAAGTCCTATAATGCTTGGGTGCCGTCCAGTGCGTAAATCTAAAAGAAAACTATTAAAAACACACTCTCCTAGTATAAGTAAAATATATAATTATTCCAGACAGAGTGGGATAGAGAAATATTTAAAAATGTATTGTAATTATTTTGCATAAATTATAAGATAGATATTGAACGAAAATTTGCTTTTTAACGAATATTGTTTTTTGGACTCCAACTATCATAGCAAAAGGCATAGATGGACAGATATAAAGAATCTTTCAATTATATACTTAGTATTTGAATTTTTTCAAATAAATTTTGAAGAGAAAGACGAAACAGAATGAGAAAAAACGACAAATAGTGTAAAAAACTTCATTATCGAGAGTTATAGGAGAATTAATTCTCTGATGATACTCTCACTCATGATGGACAAAACTAATTTGTTGTGACAACGTAAGATTCTATAATTTGGTAAAAATAACTATTTTGAAAAGCTTAAAATTAAAATTTTTGAAATAAAGTCTTTCATATGATAATATATTACTTTCAATGAAACAGTTTTAGGCATTAAGCAAATAATAAAGATAGATTTTGAAAGAGAGATATTGCTGAAATCTAACAATTATAGTGTCAATATATATAATTTGAAAGTCGTATAATTTAATGGTAGTCAACCCATGTAGAATCAAAAACGGAGAAAATATAAATCCTTCCACGTAAAATACATATCAACTAAAAGGTGAAAGTTTTTTTTTCTTCAAAATTATTTCCACTTGCCACCAATAATAGAAACATTAACTATGCTTATCAATGAAAGATTTTTATCATTTAATTCCTTTAGTACTCACACCAAAGATATCTTTTGTTATTAAACCAAAGTAAATAATTTTAATTCAGTTTTTTTTAAATTTACTTACCAAAACGAATCATTAAACCATAAATAGCATGTGTTGCATGCATCATCTTCTTTAGCATGTGAAATTTAATCTAGTTTATTTTATTTATTTATTAAATTATTTTATTTTTTTTTTGCGTGTGTTTTAAGTTTAAGTTATTTGAAGAAGAAAAAAAAAAGAAATTGTTTTTAGTTTTTTAAGAGAAAAATATTTTAATAAATAATATTAATTAATTAAATAAAACCATCAAGTTTAATTTGTTTTAATTTCTTTTAAAAGTTTACTTTATTCAATTTATTTTGTTTTACTGGTGGCTGTTGATATTGATTCCTACGTTTGAATTCATCATTTTCGGCAAATTCATAGTAAGTTACCGGTTCGGTGAATTTGTGTTCGTCTGCGGGTACTATTTCAAATTTGTTGTGTTCGTAAGGCATGCTGCGATGCCAACTTGAACTGTGTTCGTGACTATGACTGCCGCCGCCTCCTCCTCCGCCAGTAACAATTACATGATCGGTACCTCCGCCACTACCACCCGCTCCCTTTTTGAGACTGCCCTGAAATGTAAACACTCTTAGATGGGTTTTGTTTGACAAGAATATGTAAAGAATTTTATATCTACTATTCTAACAAATGTGTAAAACTAGAAACTGGTCTAATAAGAAAATCTACAAAAAATCTGCGATCGTTTAAAATTTTTTTTCTTTCTATAAGTATATTTAAAGGTTCAGTTGTGGGACTAACTCCAAGAAATTGAGTAATTATGTTTGCCAAAGGAGATCGAAGGTCTAAAAATTTTTATATTTTTAATTAATATTGTTTTAATATATTATTTATGTCAAATATGTTCATATCGACATTATTAAAAGTTTATTGAATATTTAGATGATTTTCTAAACAATTACTTCTTTTGATTATTAGGTCAATTTTGGACCGAACTATGAAACAGATTTCTTTAGATTAATTCATGTATATATATATTTTAATATTAGGAAAGTAAATATTTAGTTGACGAATTACTTTACAAAATAATATTTCCTAAAACTCGCCAAATTTTTTTATAATCAAAGTTCTAATGATCATTCAAATGTAAGTCCGGGAGGACATTAGATTGTTGATTGATTTTATCTAATTTAACAGATTAAAATTGATACAAAAACTCAAACGCGGTCAAGTTATCTTACGACACGTAGACAGTAAGTTGGATGTTGTCAAATCGATTCAGATTAAAGTATGGATCGTATAAATCGATTTTGGGTTATTTTAATATGAAGGAACGTATAATCGATGCAGATTGTTGTACATTAATATAACATAATTATGAGACCAAAAGGCGTATTCAGGGGGTTTGTTTAAACTGATTTCAACCAAAATCAATGAAGTAAAACAATATGTGTGCCAATTTTCAGCGAATTGTCTTTAAAATTGCTACCTGACAGACTGACGGACGGACGGACATGGCTTAATCGACTTATTATTTTAAGCCGATTGGTTTACTTGAAGGTAGGTGTAGGACTAATATTTTATGCCTTACAAACATCTTCACAATAGTAAAATACTCTCCCCACAAGAGTATAAAAACAGAAATGCAAAAATTATTCTTAAACTCGCAAACAGAAAGAATAATGCTATTGAATATATTCAGATTGTAATGTAAAATCATTATTTACACAAAAACCCATTTTCCCCTCCATCTGAAAATATAAGTGGGATGTGATTTTTTCATTAATTTTGTAACACCTCGAAATCACATCCAACACCATTAAAACATAAATCTGAGACGAAGTCTGTTTGTTGAATGTGCGATAGAGCCCAGAAAAAAGCACCTATGAAGATGTTTGCAAAATATTGACGAGAAATAAATATTTCTTGCTGCAAATGGACAACATCGGCCCATGGTTTCACGTAGCCTACATACAAGTGGTCCACCAGTTATTTTAAAGCTTTTAGAAAATAAAACATGACCAATATTGGTCATATTATCTTATTAGGTTATCTTTAGAATTCAAAATGGCTTAAAATACCAGTAAAGCGTTGAAATATGAAATTTTAAACAACAAAAATAATATCTACCAAATCTCTTGAGGATCCGTTCATATTTGACCCTTTCTCTCATATGAGGTCCCTTTCAAAAGAAATTATATACATATGTATATGGGGAATTTCATGTCAAGTGAGCCAACTCAAAAAAACGATTTCGACGAAATTTGCACTAAAGTTAGTACTATTGGATAGTAGGTCAGACACAAATTTTCTGCTCTATCGGTCAAGAACTGCCGGACTTAGAGGGGGTCAAAGTTGGATATTTGGTCATACAGAATTTTATTCAAATGAGTGTAACTTTTCACCTATTGGTCCTAGCAAAATTGTCCAAAGGAGTTCAGATAGCTATTTCTTCATTCTTTCCAAATTTTATTTTTTTATTTCTTTAAATATGTATGACCAAAATGTCCAACTTGACCCCCCGGCAGTTCTTGACCGATAGAGCAGGAAATTTGTGCCCGGCCTACTATTCCATAGTACTAAACTAGGTGCAAATTTCATCCAAATCGGAAGACATCGATTTTTAAAGTTGGGTCACTTGACACGAAATTCCCCTTATAATACTGTTATGAAGAAGTTCTATAGGAACTGTAATATATTTACTAAATTTCACAAGGATCAGACCATAATTGTCCACAAGGTGACCTTCAGAAAAATCGTCTATAGTTTTATAGAAACCAAAATCTCTCTACTATATTTCTTAGGGCATAATTTTGATGGTGGGTATATAAGATTCGGCAAAGCCGGATATAATACATTCTCCAATTTTCCACAATTCTGTGTACATGTGTATATATTCTCCCAAACCCTGAGTACATAGATGGAGGATATGTTATGTATCTGTCAAGTTGTAAACTATTGACAGAAAAAACACATGTTACAAAACTATTGAATGTTCTTCTAAACTCAATTACAACTTTATGTATTTATCAGATAATAACATATCCCAGTAGCTAATAACATTACAAAAATTCCCCTCTAATCCCTAATGAAATATTTGAAACACCCTAAAAGCATACAATTGATTCATATCTACATACATACACATGTATTTAACACCAACTCAATTGAAAACTACTCACCAGTACGGATATAAGTAAAGCAACTTTAGCCATTACAAATGCAGCTCCTGCTATCAGTATTACTTTGCCCAAAAACATTTGTGCAACCATTGCCAGCATCGCCATTCCTCCCATCATTGCCATGTTCTTGTCTTTGTCCTTTTTCTTGCGACCTTTGGGTGGTTTGATATTAAACAACGAATAGTATATTTTATTTTTATTTTTTTTATGTTTGTTTTTATATTTATGTTTAAATTTATTTTTGTATTTATGTTTTTGTTTGTTTTTATTATGTTTGTTTTTGTTTTTGATCAGATAAGTGGGCGAGGGCAGTGCGGTTAGTGCAAAATCGAGAGGAGAAGAATAAGAGGGTTTGAGTTTTTTAAAAGGTTTTTTTCGACCAGATTTTTTTATTTTTGAAATTTTATCATCTACAAGACCATTCAATTTACGTAGCGTACCTTCTTCCTGTTCCAATTGTTCTATCGCACCAGTATCTTCATTCTCCACATCAACATCATCAGTGGTAGCCGCATTCAAATCATCTAGAGCCGAGGATATGCTGCGTTTATTGAATAAATTATTGACAGATGAGGGTAATTGTAATTTTAATGAACGTGTTTGAGCCAACTGTAACATTTTCAAAGCCAATGTATCACTTAGAGAACGTCTATTTGATGTATTTAGTAATTTGTTCTCATGTTCCTCGTTAAAGAATGGCGAGGAGGTGGTTTGAGCATTTTTTTCAATAACTAAAAAATCACTAAATTGCCATGTATCATTATTGGCAATGGCTCTGTCTAATGTCTCAAATATTTTATTTTCCAAACAATTAATTATCTCACTCTGTCCAAAACATTGAGCCATCGATTGGCCCATTTGTCGTGCGGAAAAAGCATCTTCTCGCGTACTTATTATGGCAACACTTAAACTACAATTTAGTGTGAAAATCACAAAAAGTGCTAAGACTATTTTTAACATTTTACACAATTAATTGTAGCACTTAAATCCTTATTTATGGCTTAAGGTTTTTATTTATTTTCTTTTATTTTTAAAGAATTTTTTCTTCTATTCCGTTTAATAGTTTCTTTTAGATTTCTTTCTTTTACATCTAAGCTTCTTCAACTATAAAATAATACTAAACTAATTTTTATATTATTAACCATAATTTATATGCAAATGTTTTTCTTTAATTTCTAAAAATTGGTATTTTTATGAACATTTAATTGGTGGAGGAAATGAATTTTTCTTTCGTTTTTTTTTTCATTTTCACTCTTACAAAAAATTTGTAAAAAGAAAGAACTTTTCAATAAAGTGTAATTAAGTTGCTTTTCAAACCATTACAAATCTAAATATTTATCTAAAAACATTTAATCTAAGTAGATATAAACCAGCAACCAATTTGTTTGACGCTTATGAAAAAACAAACAACAAGAAAGTTATGAGTAGTACAGTTTAATAGCTCATATGCCACAGTGCACAGTACTACATTTAGTACATTCTGGTAAAAAAGGGGCGGTTATATCATGTCCACGCCCACTTCTTATGTTAGTGCTAATTTTGGTATTCTTGACTACAATAAAAAGCAATAACTTAAAAACAGACAAACTGAATCAACCCTTATAAGATCAGAATGCATTAGTTATAAAACGAACACGCCTACTTTTTATATAGAAAATTTATGCATGTAAGTGAAAAAATGTGAGTCAATTTTACAAATTATTTATAAATAAAAATTTATACCATAATTTCATATAATTTTCATGATAACCATGTCCATGTTCTACGTATACTGAACCTTGCTTCCTGGGCAAGAAGATATCAGTATCAGACAAAGTTAAGTACTTAGGTGTAATACTCGACCGGAAATTAAAATGGAGACACCACATAGAGGATAGGATCAACAAGGAACATCGGTGCTGGGCGATATGTAGGAGAACTATAGGCATGAAATGGGATCTTAGTCCTACTATGACAAATTGGCTTTATAAAAGTGTAATTAGACCAATTCTAGCTTATACTTCAATAATCTGGTGGACTGCTTTAGACAAAAAATGCAATATCAAACTACTACAGGGAGTTCAGCGTACATGCTGCTTGGGTATAAGTGGTGCCATGTGTACTACTTCAACCAAGGCTCTGGAAACGTTGCTAGATATTCCACCCATTGAATCATAATATGTCGGAAACTTTAAAACGCTAATCCCAGATAGAATGTCTTGGTCAAGCGGAACATTAGAGAAAATACCAGTAGGAATCCGTTGGGGCTGGAGTTCTATATTGAAGACCCAGAAACAGAAATATACCACCGTTTACCAAATCATAACACAAGCTTCCAGGCAGAAGTACGAGCAATAACGGAATGCGTATATTGGATTAGAATAAATATGGCGCCCACATCTTAATATATTTACCGACAGCCAGAAGGCAATTAGGGCGATATCAGGTGATAAAACTAAATCTAAGACCGTATTGTATTGTAAGAAAGCTTTAACTGAATACTCTCCCAGAGGTAAGGTTTACATTGTATGGGTGCCGGCCCACTCGGGAGTAGTCGGCAACGAAAGGGCGAATGTAATAGCTTTAAAGGGAAGGGAGCTCGAGGCAGTTAACCTGACAAACGCAAACGCCGCAACAAAAGCTGGACTAAAAATATGGGTGAGAGAATCCCATAAGGCCTCTTGGAATAATGAAACTGTGGGTAGAACCACGAAGATCCTATGGGGTGGCCCTGATGAGAGCAAGACGAAAAATCTCCTCAAAATGAGCAAGTCTGAAGTTAGTATGATGGTACATATTCTGAGTGGACACACAGGATTACGAGCACATCTATGCAAAATTGGACGTGCGGATTCAGACGAATGTAGAGCATGTGGAGAGGACAGTGAAACTCTGGAGCACTTTCCTTGCCACTGCCAGGCATTTGTCGAAGTTAGATCCAAGAATCTTGGAAGTGATGTTATTTCGGAAATAAAATTCCTGACTAACACTGATTGGAAGATTCTTAGAAATTATGTTCAAGAAACTGAGTTTCTGAACTGAAAAATAATTCATTTTTTCAGGATAAGGAGCGCACAAATTGCCCAATAGCGGCCTAGGTGTATTTTTTCAGATTTGATATAGTATACATCCTCCTATCAACCTAACCTAACCATGCCCACAAGCAAACATTTCGCTCACTTTTCTCTATTATTTAATTAATTATTAGTAAAGCCATTTAATGTATGCAAATATTTAAAACTTTAATGATAATAGTTGATTATTTTTAACATTATAGTATATTTTTCAAATTTGTAAAAGTGGGCGTGGTCAACAAAAGTATTTTAGTTATATTTGTTAAGTTAAATGCTGATTTTAGTAAACATTTGGTTCAAACAGTGATCAAAAAAGAATTTTCAAATCACGTAAATCAAAACCGCCCACATTTTTTGTGGGGTTATAATTAAGTTTATGTCAAGTATGTGCTTTAGATTAAGATAATATCTTTAAAATTGAAAAGTTATTTAACCTATAAAGGCTGAAAATGTCCTTTTAGACGATTGTACTAATAAGTCTAAAATTATCGGGGTCGCAAGCGGTCACAAAAGTAAGCTTTTGAAATACATACTACAGATTTTAGCGAATACAGACGACCACATCGGACCAATTTCAAAAGATGCGTTCCATTAAAAATTAAGTTTTTGTTTACTTTAACGATATACTAGTAGTGTAATAAAAATATAAGAAATATTAGACGATTGTACTAATAACTCTAAAATTATCGGGGTCGCAAACGGTCGAAAAAGTTAGTTTTTGAAATACATACTACAGATATTAGCGTATGCACCGACGACCACATCGGACCAATTACAAAAGATGCGTTCCATTAAAAATTAAGTTTTTGTTTACTTTAAGGATATATTAGTAGAGTAATAAAAATATAAGAAAAATATAACTTGAAAAAATATTTTCCATGAAAATTTTATGATTTTTAATCCTTGTTTAATACACTTTTATATGTAATTTAAATTGTGTAAATATCTAATTCCATATAGAAGTTATTCACTTTTGTACACATCATATTATTTGACCTATGTATATTAGTAACTAGAAAAATTTAGTTTTGAAGGTGGAACTATGGAGCCAAATTTCCGCGTGAGCAAACACTATCTGATTTTTTCCCGATGTTTCCATGCTACTGGAAGTCTTAGGTCACTTATATGTATATAAAAATTGAACAACTTTTTTAATTTGACTTTTGTCGTTCTAGATTGGAAAAATGTGGCACTGTGCAGTGTTCTAAAATAAGAACTAAAACCACTTTTCGATAACAAACCTTCTTCATACATGTCGAAGAGAATAGGGTAGAAGGGGGACCATACGCCACTTTTTTTTTGAGGCGGCCTCAAATTAAAACCACAATACATATTCTTTATTCTTTTCTTGGTTCGCATACTTAGATATGTTGGCTTTAGTTTTATCCCTTTCAATCTTTTCTAAGTCATCCTAATGCACATATTTTTTAACTTTTCTGAACTGACCAAAAACGGCGATACCGCCCCATCCATGGGGTAAATACGCCAAGAGGATGGGGCAGATTTGTCATTAGTAAAATCAACCAAAAAATTTAAAAAATAAAAACTTATTTCGCTGTTTTATATTTTAATTCATTTAACAAAGTATAATAAACCAGATATTTATTGTTTATTTCACATAACTTAACAAAAAAAATTAAAACAAATTATTATTGATTTTTTCTATATTTTAACCAAATTTTGTTCTACATCACAAGCATTTCATATATTTGGCGAATGTGCCCCACGGGCAGTTCTGGGGTTTAGTTTCAATTTTTTTCGGGCTTCAGATTATATTATCGAAAAAATTATTATGTCTTATTGTTCACTATTATTGACGTTCTATCACTGATCAATATATTTTTTCTATCACAAAAACTAAAAAAGTTAGCACAAAAAATTCACACAGTGAAATATTTTCACAGCCCTTTGAAAAACAATTAATCTCGTCTGCCTCCCATCATATATAAAGTTAATCTTTCAAACTTTCAGGGATGATAGATAATCGATAAACGAAAACAAAATTCGATAATGCGATAAAATCGATTACTCGGTTTTCAAGTTATTCGCTATAGGCAGATGTGCCCCTATGGCGTATGATCCCCCTTCTACCCTACGTCCGTTGGCCCTCGGTGGTCCATCGGTGATTTTTTTACCTAATATTTAGTGTCTTAAGATTTATATCTGTCTAGTAGAGCAACAGTCTGGCAATAATCTGTAGTAATTGAACAACTTTGGGAAACTATGGCACTATGCAGTGTTCTAAACTAAGAACTAAAATCACTTTTCGATAACAAACCTTCTTCATACATGTCGATGAGAATACGTCCGTTGGCCCTCGGTGGGCCATCGGTCATTTTTTACCTAATATTTAGTGTCTTAAGATTTACATCTGACTAGTAGAGCAACAGTCTGGCAATATTCCATAATAACTATCAAAGAGCTTCTTAATTTCCTGAGATCTTATAAAAGGCGCACGACAATCAAACATATACTTAGCTGCATAATCAGCATAATTAGTTAGCTCATCACCGATTTGTTTACTTATTTATTTAAATATCTGCTCTTAGACATTAGAGAAATTAAATTTAAAATCTACTGTTTGCTGGGTTTAAATCTCACAAGCAAAACAATTTATTTTCAAATACTTATAAAAAACATAAAAAATAAATATGCATGGCTTAACATCATACCAGTGATATTTTTTCCATAAATATTTAGCTTTCATTGTGTTTTTCAATTTTCTTTAACCATTTTAAACCTTTTCAAAGCCACCTGTAATGAAAACCCAAATATTACTACGATACCACCTACAAACCTGTATATTTTTTGTCATAGTTATTTTTTTATTAATAAAAAAATTAAATGAGTAATTTGGGGTGGGTTATTGAACCTTAAAAATGTTTTTGGCTTGTAATTACAGGTTCTTGCGGTGATAGGTACTTGGGTCGTTTGTATCGTCTTTTCTGTCTTTTGTTGTATTTAGTCTTTTTTTAAAACTTTAACAGACAAACATTTCACTTTCATCTCGTAATTTGAACTTTTTCTTCCAACGCACAGTGGATTAGTTAAAGCAATAGAGGGAAATAAATCGGTAATGGTTATTTGACATACTTTGTAAAGATAAAGTTTTTAATTCGGGAGGCATTGGTGAATTGGAGGCGTGGCCAAAGGTACAGCATTTTTAAAATTAGCGTATTTTAAAAAATATAATTTATTTTAAAAATTTAAGAAATAAATATTTCTATGGCAATTTTTTTTTTAAATTTTTATGAAATTTTTGCTTTTAAATTCAATTTGTTTGGTAATTTTTAGCATTTTTTTCTATTTTCTATATGATACTCATAGACAGACGGATATAGGTTAATTTACTCCGCTATCTATAATATATACTTCATAGGGTCGGAAAATTATATTATAGAAACTTTGTCACGACTGTGATTAGTATAAAAATTGTATTAAAATTTGTAAAACTTTTATTCACTTAAAATGTTTCTTGTAAAGTTAGCTTTTTCATCAAATCCAAAAATTTTTGGGAGCAAATAACTCATAGGTTATTAAGATAAAATTTAAAGCTATGAAGAGGTTTTTAGTTGTCTTTTACTACTTAGTAGATACATAGTAAAATGCATTATGATTTTTGAAATCGGAACACAAAGGAAGATTTTGGATCGTTTGTATTATTTTACATATCGATAAATCGAAATTCAAAAGATAAACTCGACGAAATTTTTGTAAAAACTGACTTATTCCTTTAACTATCCCACTGTGCAACGTTTATCGTTAATTTTCTTGAGTTCATAAACGGTTGTTGTAAAAAAAGTAGCAAATCTATCTTACTGCTTCAAAGTGATGTGGAAGTAATTTAAGTTGTCAAAAGAATTTCCTTTTATTGTTGTTGTTGTTGTTGTTATATAAAAAAATGTTTAAAGCCTAAAGCTTATTGGTTTTAGGCTTAAAACAATGCCAAGCATAATATGTATAATGAGACAAAATAAAAAAATTATATAACTTTTTTAAATCGTCTTAAAACAATGATGCCCTTACGCAATATTAAAAAAGTGAGAGTGTTATAATATACACTTCGAATTTCTTTAAAACAATTTCTTTAATTTTCAATTTTGATTAACAATAAACATTTTGTTAAATATGTTTTCGAATGAACCGATAAACTAAAATTTGTAATTAATACCTTATTCAGAGGGAATATTTGTTTCGTCTGTGTTTCAGTATTGTTTTAAAATGTGTCCAATACAATTGATTTAGAGATCGGGTTTGAATTACGTATATTGTCTCAACCCTATTTTTAATGAGGTTTCTATCCTGCCAGCAACAAGAAAAGGGTTGCTATATTCGTCTGAGCTGAATCTTATATACCTTCCACCTAGTAATCTTTTAATTGATAAAATATTTGTTGAAATAGATTTTCTCATGTCTTCTTATATCAAACATATCAATATATGGTAATGAGCAGGGAAACCAGAATATGCAAATGCATGTTTTTTGTGCTGTGTCGTATGGACTCAGGGATAAGATATTTACACGTTTCAGACCAATTTTAGAATTTTGGCATCGATTTGTTAGAGCATATTTTTGCATATTTTACCCATAAGAGCATAATTTTGCATGATTTGACTTTTGTAGCATATTTATGGCATATTTTCGAGTTTTTAGAGCATATTTTACTCTTTTAGTGCATATTTTGAAGTTTTTAGCTTTTTTTCATTTTTGTACATTTTTAATTTTCTTTTCAAAACTTTATTAAAAAAAATCAAATTTAACTTTTTTATTTTTTAAATCTTTTTTTTAATTTTTTAGCCTATTTTACAATTTTGAAAAAAATTATTTTCGTTTGTAGAACTTGAAAACTGTAAAAAATACATTAGTCTCATGAAAACCAATGTTATAGTTTTATATTCAATAAAGCATTAAATTTTAAATCGAACATAAAACCGATTACTTTGGATTTCATGAGACCAATCCATTTTTATCGATTAAAAAACTAGTATTGATAACACTGTAAGTATGTCAAAAAGACACAGAAAAACGCCGAGACACCTAAACTTAATTTTGGGTCGTAGAATCTAGTGACTTACTCCGTTTTGAAAAGTTAGGTCAAAATCGGGAGATATTACGTTTTAAAGTATGAACTGTTTATGAGGTGATTTTTTATTTTTTAAATTTTGAAAAAAATTTTCACGCATAGACATACGAACTAATTATAAAAAAAAAAAAATATATATGCATAATTAATTCATATGGACTCTAGTTTCATGTATTTATATACTTTTCTATACGTGAAAGTTTTTTTTTAATTTAAATAATTAAAAAACACCTCAGAAACAGTGTAAACTTTAAAATCCAATATCTCCCGATTTTGACCCAACTTTTCAAAACGGAGCATGCCACTAGATTCTACGACCGAAAATTAAATTCACGTATTTCGGCGTTTTTCTGTGTCTTTTTGAAAGTTGAAATTTTAATTACAGTGTAATTATTGGATTTTATGACAACAAGGATTAAAATTTCAGTTTTGCTATGAATACAATTGGAAGAAATGTGTCAAACTTTGTCGTTTAAAATATGTTTTTTTTTTTTTTTGAGGACCAAATGGCTTCATGTTATTTATTGGTTATCTGAATGTAAAACTGAGTTCTATTAAACTAGTTCTTCAAAATATGAGATGAATCAATTATAAAAAATCTTGTAGGATGAAATAAGAGCATATTTTAAGTTTTTTACTGCATATTTAAAACGCTTAAAACACTTTTTTTAAATGTTTAAGTGATTTGCTGAAGGGGACCTCGTATGAAAGCTATGACCATATATGGACCAATTCATGTATTCTTATATCAAACATATCAATATATGGTAATGAGTAATATGTTTAAGTGATTTGCTGAAGGCGACCTCGCATGAGAGTTATGACCATATATGGACCAATTCAGAAATTTTTGTAAAGATGACGACATTCTGAAAGAAGTTATTAACAATAGATTAATTATCCGAGAATATGTATGTACATTTGTATGGGAGGTATAGGAATTTGTGGACCGATTTCAACACTTTTCAATAGAAACCAAGTTTTCGTAGAGAAACTAGTGGACATTTATTACATAGTTTTTGTGAAAATTGCATGAAAATGTGTAGACAGTCAGACGGACACAGCTAAGTCGACTCAGAATTTTATACTGACCAATAATATATATACTTTGTAGGGTCTCAGAGGAATATTTCTCAGTGTTGCACACTTAATAACAATCTTATATACATATACCCTCTACCCCACTGATGGTGGTGGAGCTTATAAAAAAGAAACAAATCACAAATTAATCACCAAAATTTTGAGAAATGGAATATTAGAATGAACCCAAGATTTCATTTTCGTTTGGGACAACAGACCCTATTTCTTTTTCTACATACAAATAGGACACCCTAATGTACATGGATACGTAACACAGTCATGTTTTACTGATAGAGAAAAGGAATTAAAAAAGAGATTACTTTTTTTTGTCAATTAAATAAAGAGATTTCTAAGAAGTTTCAAGATACATTTTTGTCTATTCAGAAAATAATACATTCCGATTGTTTAAAATTTAAATTCGTTTACAATACATATAATTTAAAAATCTTTTATATGTCTTAACAAGTGGGAGTAAAAAAATTATAAACCCTATCATCAGTATGTTCGAATTGTAGTCTTAATAAATAAATAAATGAGAGCTTGAGCCATTGATTTTGTTTCTTTACTTTAACTATCATTTGATATCATTGGTAGAACAAATTAAAACACTAATTTAAATAAAATAATACATTTAATTTATTCTTAAATTAAACTACAACTATAACAAACTATATTACACTCTTAAATTTAGTACTTTCCAACCAGAGTTATCACTAGTCTTAAAATGATGGCTATGTGAAACATTTATAACACCAGCCACCTCTTCTTCATCTTCAGCATAGGCCGAAGGACCTAATTTACCATTTGAGTGACGTAATTTACCACTACGATCTTGCATTAGAACCTGTTTCTCATATTCATAAAAACGATCTGGGGCAGGTGTGGCTATAACTGGTGCGACAGTTGAACGTACATTACTGCTGGTATTAATTCTTCCAGTATTTTCTCTTGTCTTCTCAAAAACTACTTTACGATCTTGTCTTTTGTATGGTGAAATGTGCTGGAGTTCATCTTGTTCATATTGTGAGTAGACAGTATTTTTACCGGGATACAAGCCACCACCAGCTGCAGCACCAAAATTTCCTCCAGCAAAAGCATGTCCTCTAAAAGGTGGTGGTGGTGGTGGTGGTGGAATACCACCGCCAAAGCCATGACCGCCTCCAAACAAACCTCCTAAACCGCCACCTAATGTACCCAAAGCACCAGCAACTCCTCCTATGCCTAAAATGCTGCTAATATAAACCACTAACTTGGCAATAAAAAGTGATTTTTTCAAGAGTAAACAAATTATGGTAAATAAAATTGGTACCAGTGCTACCAAGTTGAATTTGAAACCAAGTAGAAATGGTAACAGATATTGTTTTGTTAAGATGCGTGCTGCAAGAATTATAAAAAAATAGTTGATGTCTTAGCTTAAGCTTGGCTTAAGTGTGTGTATGTCTTGGATAAAGCTAAACTTACCTGTTGAAGCTTCTTCATAATTAAAATTTCTTTCATCTACTGTTGGATCTAACATAAATTGTGCCACACTATTAGAATCGGCGGAGGGGCCTACCTTAAACATAAGACCTGGGTATATGGCATCCATATGGAATTCAAGAGCTCGTTGACTAAATACAGCTCCAGCATTTTCTAAAATGCCTCTAGAATGTAAAAAAAAAATAAAAAGAAATATTTAATAGTAATTATTCATAATAGCGCTAAGATGGAACATTTTTGCCTTTGATGTGCAATTTTACAATTATTATCGTGCTAAGACAGCAAAATGCTTTGAAACTTGTCAGCAATTAGATAATTATTTGAAATGCTTTACGAGCTGCCTTTCTAATGGAAGTCTTTGATGCTCTTCAGTTGTTCGACTTATTTTGCTTTTTTAATATCTGCTAGACTCTTTTCTTGATTCTGGTTCTCTTTCAATAATCACACAGAAGGAAAAGGAAATGTGCACGCCTGGTACCAAATTGGCGCCAAAGAGTTTATCATTTTTCAATAACATCCGTTGCCAAAGTATATACATACGTACGACAACGCATACTAGTTCTAAAACAACTTCTTGGAATCAGATGAAAAAAATTTCAAAAAATTCATAAAAATAATTTTATCGAAATAGAAAACGCTTTCATATGTATATTTCTGCATAGAACTGGACTATAGGGAATTAAAGAGATTCCTAATTGAATTGTAATAGGAGAATGGAAAGTGAGCTGCAGATTATATATGTGGCAGAATGATCATAAGTTTTAAGTAAGTTTAATGTAGTATTTATGGTCATAATCTTAATAGTTTCGAACAAAAAAACGCTGTGAAAAGAACTATTTTAATGTAAAGCGTATACCATATCTAAGGCTTCCCTAGAACTAGTTCGAACAATGAAATTGAAATGAAATTGATGAAAGAACTGATTCCAGAAGCGTTCCGTAGAACGAGTTTTGACTCCAGAACCAGTTCCCAAAAGTGACAATTTCGAACAAAAATCATTGGATCCTTAATTTTTCTTGGCCTTCTTAGTTTTCTAGCTTTCATTTAAGTTTTAGATCTCCATAATGTTTTTCTTTAACAATTGTCATAAAATTAAAAAAAAAGACTAAATAAATGATAATAAGCTTTCCACTTAAGGGCCCTTCAGACGATCACACTTTACGTACGACAAGTCTAATGAAAAAGTAAAATGAAATTCCATCCGTATGACAAAAAAGAGAATAAAAGTAGTTTGATTTATATTTTTCGTATTTACACGATTGGTATAAAACAATAACAAAGTAAGATGGAAACAGCTGCTTCACTTTTATTGTACACTATCGGACAAAATAAAGTGCAAAAGTACTCATGCTATATTCTTTCATCGAAAAATCGGTTAAATGATTATTGAATATGGAAATTTTTTTCAAAATCATTTAGTTAATATACAACGCTACAATAATAACAATAAAACTAAATTATTGTAATTACAATTTTTCTGTAAAACTTCTAAAATAAAAGTAAATTCAATTTTTTTGTCGGACAAAATAAAGTGTAAATTTTATATATCATTATTTAAATTTCTTGTATATCAAAATTTTTTATCTATTTTGGTTCTGATTTGAATATCTGGATCTACTTAAGCCATTTTGGTAATTTTGTTCACCATTGTTATTCGCAATCGCCTTTCCTTCCCCTTGCTTTTCGCATATGATTATTTTCAAAAGAAATCCGTTTTTGATCACTATTTCATCGGAATTTTTTGATCAATTGTGGTCCAAAATTAATCTATTGGATTTAGGGCGGTGCTCTGAGCAACTTATTTAAATTTTCAGTGTTCTTTCCTACAGTAATGCTATTTTTTAACTTTATCAAGCGCTTAAGCTTATTATCTTTCCGAGATATAAAGTTGCCCAAGTCCATTTCGAAGGCACTGATCTTAAGATTTGACTGTAATATGCTCACATAGTGTTCACTAGAGCTTTTTGAATAAATTTCCCCTAGGTTCCCCACAGCTAACATTAAAAATTAAACACATACGAAGAGTCAACTGACCCATACGTTCAATCTTTCACCAACACATTTAAAAGCATGGAAATTTTTTTTCGGTTTTAGTATTTAATTTTGTATTTTTTACCTCAAATTTGCGTAGATAGTCAGATGAGTCCTAATTTGTACCGAAAATTTTAAAATGTCGACAATGAGTGTGAGTTAAACCCTTCAATATACAATATTTTAAAAACAATACCCCAGGTTTTAAACATTATGGTGGGGGGCTATCGGTATTGGTACATTATTCAACCTTAGGATCGGGAATCTTAGTGAAGATGGAGTAAACAATAACAATTGAGCAATTCACGAGCGTATTTAATAATTTTGATATACAAAAAATTTAAATAATGATATATAAAATTTACACTTTATTTTGTCCGACAAAAAGGTGAATTTACTTTAATTTTGGATGTTATACAGAAAAATTTTAGGTGGAATGATTTTGTTTTATTGTAATTTTTGTAGCATTGCATATAAACTAAATGAATTTTAAAAAATTCCATATTCAGTAATCATTTAACAGATTTTTCGCTGAAAGAATATAACATGAGTACTTTTGCACTTTATTTTGTCCGATAGTGTATGTGTTTACATAAAAATACATCCCTGATCTAATGCGACTTGCTTGTTTTTTGAATCATTTCAAAAAATGAAGAGAGCCATACGAATGTCAAATTTTCCATCCGTATTTTCTCTCGATGTGTGATGGTTTTATTACATATTGCGTTTAGACGATCCCAGCCGTTCTCTTCTACACAAAATTTTGACAGATCATATTACTTGTGTGCTCGTGTGAAGGGGGCTTTTTTTCCATTCTCGCAATTGTCACGAATTGTACGGAAATTCATGAGCATAACACTAATAAGTTTGAGTGACTATTTGTATTTTCTAGCAAACTTGAAATGTTTTATAGTTAATTTGAGACCTTTTACTTTTTAAGTAATTTCATTTCATTTAATGCTACATTGTAATTGCACAGGTGTTTTCATGAAATACGAAAACTAAATACAGTTCTTTCGCACCTCATTCACTTTAATTTTAATCACTGTAATACACAATAGCTCTTACCTAAAATCCACCGGATCAGTATCCAAAAAATTCACTAATGACCTGGATGCCACCTTATCGTCACGGGCAGCAATTAAACTACCAGCAAATGTAAAATTATCTCTTTCATCGAAACGTTGCAAAAAACTAATGGCCGTACGACCAACACACTCCCTTAAATTGGGATGTGATGATTTGCGTAAACAATATTGGAATTCTTGAACACTATTACCATCGTTGTCTGTACTTGTTATGGCGAAATTACCGTTAAATATTTGTAGTAAAACGAAAAGTGATGACACGCAATGAAATTTGAACATTTTACCGTTAAAATTTGTTATTTGAACTAAACGAAATATATGAAACAACTAAAACAGTTTCTAACGAAAATACACAAATTTATACTAATTTCAGTCAATTGAGATTGTGGTGGAGTTTTTAAGCAGAAAACTAAACATTAAAATGAACTAAAATTAAATAATAGCTGTTACGAGTATAAAAGTTTACATCATTATCATTAAATGCAAAACATTTACATTTATGGGAATTGTTAGTGTGGGCGTTTGTGTGCAACATATTGTGTGTGTGTGTTGGCATTTTGACCAAAAATCATTAGAGTGCGTAATTTGCAACATACAAAAGCCGGTAAAATGGCAAGTGTTTGGTTATAGAGTCAACAAAAGCCACATTAACGGAAGCAGAAGAAATCATCAAAACAAATGTGTAACATTTGAGAAATTGCCACTACAACAATTCTCTTGAAATAATGTTAAAGTTGAAGTATATACAATATGATATTATAACAGAAAATTTTTAAGGACTGATATGAATTAAATTGCTGAATGTGATTTCTTCAATTGTGAAACAATACACAAGACACCTTTTTTAATGTCCTATCTATACTGATCTATCTCTAGATGACACAGTCGAACATTGATAATATATATACATATCGAGCCCTTTTCGCACAAAAGACGTAACCGACAAAAACTAAATTTTACAGGAGAGCATTTTTTTTAAATATCTTCGAAGTAGGACATAGCATTACTCCAAAACTCCGTTAATAAATATTATTACATCTAAAATATGGGATGCAGTTTGTTTCGATTTTATATTGACGCTATATCCGATTTTTTTGTCGCTTACGTCTAAATTCTCTGTCTAAAAAAATAATTTTTTGTGTATATCTTTATATAATTTGTATAAATCTGAAATTTAAGAGTGTAAAAAATATGTTTTTATAAGATTTTAAGATCATCTAGCGATGTCCGTATGTCAGTCTGTTTGTTGAAAACCGGATAGGTTCCGAACGTTATGAGGTAGAGTGATGAAATTCTCCAAAAATGCTTATTGATGAGAAATATTGTTTTGTGTTAATAATGGGCAAAATCGGTTCATGATTTCACTTAGCCCCCATACAAGTACCTCCCGGATTATAGTTAAAACATTAATAAATATGTTGTTTATGTAGCAATCGCTATAAAATTTTGCAGAAGTCGGTTATATATACCTGTAAATTATGTAAATACAGATGTCAGGCAATATTTGACCCTAGCCTCCTTATATGGACCCTTTAAGACAATGATTTTATGACCATAGCTGTCTCAAAAATATCATTATAGTAACGAAATTTGATATATGATGATGTTTTAGGATGGGTTCATATGCCCCTCATACAGAAAATAAGTTTACAGTTAATAAATCTTTCAAAAATTAAGAAAGCATGATAAAATTCTACAAAAAAATTTGTTTTCAAAACTAATCACGCGTTTAAATTCTATAGACCTCGGTCCACAATTGACCAAATCCGTCATTAAAGGCCGTATTCTGAAAATCACCCTGATGTCCACATTAATATCCGTACATGGTAGTACAATTCGCCTTATATCGAATAAATAAGTAAATTCTGGTACTATTGATTCATTAAGATTCCATATACAGGTCCGCCTTCCGAAATCCACAAATTTACAACCAAATATAAGAGTTGGTTAAATGGTAATAATATAAATGCAATGTAATTAGTAATTAGAATGAACTAAATTCATAAAAAGTTATAGAAAATTATAAATTTCAGCACATAAATTGCAATGGCATAGTGATAATTACGTGAATTTATAACAATTATACTCAGATATGTGGCATTTCATTCACAAATAAATTTAATACATTAATTTGTTCAAAATTTTTCTATAAATTTAATATATTTTAAAAAAAAATTTAGACGTAACCGACACCTTGCTGTTAAAAAATTCATAAACAGAAAATAAATTTGTACTTACGTCTTTTTTCTTTTTCTTGTAAAGTTGAAACCATTGGATCTATAGCAACGATTATCGATTTCTATAAAAAAACGAAAATCGAAAATCAAGTCGCTTACGTCCATTTTGCAAAAAGGGCTCGATATATACCTATGTGAGATTTTCTAATTATTGAATAACTAACGAACAAATTTTCAAATAACATTATTACAAATTATTTAAACTTTTAAAAATACACCAATTTGACTGATCTCAGTTATCAGCCTTTTACTCATACTAACCATTATGGTTTTATACTCCATTGCCATGGTCAGTGCACACATTTAAGTGCTTCTTATTTTTCTTGTTATTTTCTTTGTTTTTCATTTTTGTTCATCTTACAATTTTACACATTGTTATTTAATATTTAGCTAACAAATAAATTTTACAACTAAATTGCTTTTTTCTGCACATTATATAATACATACAGTATTATTTGCAAAATTTGCGGTTCATTATTATTGCATGTTACTTCCCCTTTCTACATTTGACCTACTAACAAACTGCACTTTGTGCTCTATTTTTAAATCCACGATTGAAGAGGGATGGAGGAACAAAATGGAACATGTTGTTCAAGCAACAAAAGTAACAAATTGGAGAAGAATATATATTCACCTACCATCCGATGCACTGGGGACCATGGAGATGTCGGCCAGAAATCATTTGTTTGGTTACCGATTTTAAAGTTATATCACTTATTTGAAAGTAAGCACTAGTAAACCTCAGAAGCCAAAAAATTATTTCAACTATATCACAGCAAACAGAGTGATCAAACATGAACTATCACAGAATTTTGCATTATTTTAAATTTTCTTATAAATTTTTAAATGATTATAACTTTTTTGATATTAAAACAAGTTAGAGTGCTATATTCGGCTGAGCCGAATCTTAAATACCCTCCACCAGCAACTTTTGTATTAATACATTTCTAATTAATAAAATATTTGTAGAAATAAGTTTTCTCATGTCTTAAATAGAAAAATCCCAAGATTTAAACAGCCTAAATCTACTACAATTCCAAGATTTATTGAACATTAGAAACGCCACTTTCATTTAAATTTTAAATAGCGCCCTAAGATGTGCTTTAGCGATATCTCGTATTTGCATGTATGCATGTGTGTGAAAGATTTAAGGATTTTAAAAATACATACATATATATAATTTTGTTCTACACAAATTGATAATGCAAATAGTTAAATACGGTTAAAGCGCTTTTAGGGGCAGGACCTAGTATGAGAGATATGACCAAACATAGACCGATCGTGAAAATTTTTTGAAATAGCATTAAGTGCTTTTTGCATTACAAAATAGTATTTATGAACAAAAATAGTATTTATTTATATCATTATTTGGTAATGAGTTATGTGCCTTTAATGTGCTGTTTCTAGATAACGAGCGAGTAGTTTGAGTAAAAATTTTACTTGTATTTTGTTATTGTAACAAAAACAAAGTACAAGTAAAATTTTAACTCAAACTACTCACACGTTATCTAGAAACAACACATAAGTGTTTTTCTGAAAGGGACCTTGTATGGGAGCTATGATCAATTATGGATCGATAGGAAAACAATTTCACAGTAATATTTCTCTGTATATGAGCAATATTTTTGCCAAACTTTATATGGATATCTTAATTTAGTAATGAGTTATGTGCGTTTAAGTGATTTTCGGGAGGGGACCTTGTATGGGAGCTATGACGAGTTATGGACCGATCGGAAAAAAATTATCTGTAATATTTCTGTGCATATGAGTAATATTTGTACCATATGGGTATCTTAATTACGTAATGAGTTATGCGCGTTTAAGTGATTTTCGGGAGGGGACCTTGTATGGGAGCTATGACCAATTATGGACCGATCGAAAAAAATTTTCACAGTAATATTTCTGTGCATATGAGTAATACTTGTGCCAAATTTTATATTGATATGGATATCTGAATTTAGTAATGAGTTATGCGCGTTTAAGTGATTTTCGGGAGGGGACCGATCGGAAAAAAATTTCACAACAAAATTTCTGTGCATATGAGTAATATTTGTACCAAATTTTATATGGATATCTTAATTTAGTTATGAGTTAAGCGCGTTTAAGTGATTTTCGGGAGGGGACATTGTATGGGAGCTATGACCAATTATGGACCGATCGGAAAAAAATTTCACAATAATATTTCTATGCATATGGGCAATACTTATACCAAATTTTATATGGATATCTTAATTTAGTACTGAGTTATGCGCGTTTAAGTGATTTTCGGGAGGGGACCTTGTATGGGAGCTATGACCAATTATGGACCGATCGGAAAAAAACTCTCACAGTAATGTTTCTATGCATATGGGCAATACTTACACCAAATTTTATTTAGATATCTTAATTTAGTAATGAGTTATGCGCGTTTAAGTGATTTTCGGGAGGGGACCTTGTATGGGAGCTTTGATCAATTATGGACCGATCGGAAAAAAATTTCACAACAATATTTCCGTGCATATGAGTAATATTTGTACCAAATTTTATATGGACATCTTAATTTAGTTATGAGTTAAGCGCGTTTAAGTGATTTTCGGGAGGGGACCTTGTATGGGAGCTATGACCAATTATAGACCGATCGGAAAAAAATTTCACAGTAATATTTCTATGCATATGGGCAATACTTGTACCAAATTTTATTTGGATATCTTAATTTAGTAATGAGTTATGCGCGTTTAAGTGATTTTCGGGAGGGGACCTTGTATGGGAGCTATGATCAATTATGGACCGATCGGAAAAAACTTTCACAACAAAATTTCTGTGCATATGAGTAATATTTGTACCAAATTTTATATGGATATCTTAATTTAGTTATGAGTTAAGCGCGTTTAAGTGATTTTCGGGAGGGGACCTTGTATGGGAGCTATGACCAATTATGGACCGATCGAAAAAAAATTTCACAGTAATATTTCTATGCATATGGGCAATACTTATACCAAATTTTATATGGATATCTTAATTTAGTTATGAGTTAAGCGCGTTTAAGTGATTTTCGGGAGGGGA